GAAGAAATCATCGATCGGTTCGGCCAGCGGCACGGCCGTCTATCATCCTGTAGATGTTACTTTGAGCAATTGTGCGTTCAATTGCGTCGTAGCGCGTCTCGGTGGCGTCGAACAGTATGCTCGTTGTGCAATGTTTCAAATGGATCTCGATTCGACGAACCTCATGTACTTTTATCGCGACCTTGATGCCGCTCTGCGCGATAATGAACATATGATAAAGATCCAAATCACCGATCGAACGCACAAATTAGAGTGTTCGCGCACTGACGCCTGGTAGACATGCGAACACACGATGCTCGCGTTGCGCTTTATCTCGCACGTTGTACAAACGTCTTACGCTTGTTGTTGACTAATAAAAAAATGTAATCGATATGTTCAATTTCTTCGATACACCATTCCCCCTCCACCCATTTTTAATCCGATAATAATAGATTCGATACGAGGCGAAAAAACGGTATATAAACGACCCGAAACGGGTTCGTGTGAATCGACTCTCTTTTTTGTCGCGAACGTAACGTTTCATCGCGATTCGGACGAGACCGAAACAACGATGACGACGACGATGATGACTCGATCGACATTGGCGAGTGTCGTGTCACCTCCTCCACGAGAGAGCGCGCGAGCGTAATAACGCCGACGCCGACGCCGACGCCGATCGGTCATATTCGTCATATTCGTTTAAGCTTCTCCACGATGCGATCGAGACATCGAACGTTCGATGATCGTGCGAGAACGGGACCTTATGCCATATTGCTGAGGAACATATTCCCAATGGCACGGCATCTTCGTTGCAGAACAATCGCCATTTGGATGATAACAACGACGATGATAATGAAATCGCTAACCGTCGTAAGGAGCAGTGTTCGTTCGTATCATTTTTGGTAAATGATCGATTTTTGTACCCTGCGGTAATTTTGGTGTGCTACTAATCGAGAATGTTTGTTCTTCACTCACGCACACGCGGAGAGAAAGAAAGAGAGAGAGAGAGAGAGAGAGAGAGAATCGCAGCAAAGACGGACTGTGACTGCACCATCATCGTCGTCGAATGAAGAATCATCGAACGAAGAAGGAACCGATGTGACGGGTTCACGATGCGAGTTATAATGTATTGAGCATTCGTGCGAATTTGCCCATCGTATTGAAATGAGCGAACAGACGATACGACATTTACCTGTCGAACACGTCGATCATCGCGTCGAGTCACCAGCAACAACAACGGATGACGTTAATATCGTGACCCACAACAGCAACTTTCCGCGTGTAAAAATGTTAAAACATTCCACTGGGTGGATCGTACGATTGACTTACGAATAAAAAACTTTTTTCGTACAAAAAATGGTACCTTTTTTACTGCTCTATACCACCAGCCGCCTAACCGTACGTCAAAATAACCGCACAAAAGAACACATGAACAAAAAAGTACTTCGTTATGTTACGTTTTAGATCACGCGCGCGCTATTAACAACAGCACATCCGTTCGCTCGAACGCGTGATAACAGCGAGTATCCAGTGGCTGACGACATAAACATGTGTGCCTCTAGTTCAATGGATGTTGTTACCGTAGTAGCGAAACCGGCTCGTAGCTAATCGTCACTTAGCGCCTAATGAATCGCGGTAGGATATAAAAAGCCAGCGTCCTAAACATAATTACAATAAGAAATAGGCTACGTAAAAAGTGGCAGAGAACGCACTTAAACAGATATAAAATAGAAGCCAACGAAAAAACGAATGAAATAAGAGCTAAAATAGCTAAATTTAGAAACAATAATTGGGCCAAAAAATTAACGAAATTAAACGTTAATGACAATTCACTATGGAGAATGACAAAAATTTTTAAGAAGGAATATAATCCAGTTTCTACCCTAAAGAAGAACAATGTAGAGGCAATAACTGACAAAGAAAAAGCTAATATACTTGCCTCTTAGTTTGAAGAAATACATAATATTGATATAGTTAACTCATACGATCAAAATAAAATAATTAAAGAAGTAGAAGAATATCTAAAAAATACAAAATTGAAAGATGAATGGCATAAGTTTATTATGCATCCAAAAGAAATCATTAATGAAATAAAAAACTTCCATCACGTAAAGCACCTGAAGCACACATGATACAAAACATAATTCTTAAAAACATGAGTCGTAAAGCCGTAGTGCAGTTTACTTATGTTATAAATGTAAGCTTTAAGTTATCATATTTTCCTCAATAATAGAAAACTGGAAGCATTGTGCCTATGAAAACGGGCAGAAACAAAAATGAACCAACTAGCTACAGACCTATTAGCCTCCTAACAACTATGAGTAAGTTATCTGAAAAAATTATACACAAAAGACTCAATAAATATGAAAAACAAGAAAATATTATAAAAGATAATCAATTTGGATTCAGGGAGAGACATAACACTGTTCAGCAAGTAACCAGAATAGTCAATGATATAAGCATCAATTTCAATAAAAACAATGTCACAGTCATGCTACTATCAGACATTGAAAAAGCGTTTGATAGGGTGTGAATAGATGGTCTCATCTATAAAATGATACAATTCAATTACACACTACACTCATAAAATTAATAAATAACTATTTGAGAAATAGACATCTAATAGTCGTGGTAAACGAAAGCAAATCAACAAAACGAAAAATAAATGCGGGCGTATCGCAAGGATCTGTATTAGGGCCCAAACTCTTTAATATATACCTTAATGATTTACCATAGTCCCAAAAAACTTCATTAGCATTATTTGCAGATGACACAGCCATATATGCAGACTCATTCAACGCAATAGTAGCAGCAAAACAATTACAGATACATATCAACATCTTAGAAAAATTCTATACTAAGTGGAAAATCTCATTAAATTCAACAAAGACTGAAATAATATTATTTGCTAAGAAATATCAAGATATAAGAATAATACAACCTATCAAAATATACGGACATAAGATAGAACCTACAAATAACATTAGATATCTACGTAGGAGTATACTTGGATTCTAAATTAACTTTTAAAAAACATATACAACACGTATTTTAAAAAACATATACAACAAGTATTGCACGAAGCATACCTAATGCTAAGAATGCTAAGAAAAATATACCCGTTAATAGTAAGAAACTCACCTACGTCTGTACACAACAAGCTACTAGTTTATAAAATGATAATGAGGCCAATAATAATGTATGCAACCCCGGTATGGTGTAGCGCTGCACCAACCAATATCAAACCTCTTCAAGTTTTTCAAAACAAATATCTTAGATAAATTCTTTCACAAAACAAATACGCAAAAATATGTGACATGCATAAAAAGACCGAGCTACCAATGATATTGGATTATATGAAGGAACTAGGAGAAAAATTCTATCGTGGACAACTAAACGACAATGTATACACCAAAAACATTACTAAAATTAGAAAACATAATGCACCGTTCCAAATTAAACATAAACTTCCCTATCAAGCACTTACAATTTTTAGAGAAACAAATTAAAAATAAAAGTACAATAATTACATAAATACCATAGGCGCAATATTGTACAATCAACAGTAAAATAGGTTTATTTCTTTTTTCAATTTTATTAATTAATTATTAATTTTTTAAAATTATTTCTTCGTCTCTTTTTATATTAATCGTATATTTATTTATTATTAATGCACACGGTTAAAATTTTGGAGTTGTACAATGATTCCCAGTTGTACTATTTATGTTTAAAAAACGACACTGTTATTGTCAACGGTCATACCACGCTGAAAACACCAGTTCTCGTCCGATCACTGCAGTTAAGCAGCATTGGGCACGGTTAGTACTTGGATGGGTGACCACCTGGGAACACCGTGTACTGTTGGCGTTCATTTTTTTTATTTTCTTGAATAATTTCTCGAGATTTCTGTATATAGCTTTCATACATTTATTTATTTAGCACTCACGATTGAGACAAATTTTGCAGCGGTGCTGTATATTTTTCAAATCACAGTTTACAAAATTGAGAAACAAATGAGCTTTCTAATTTCCTCTTTCTTCTTCCTCAATTATTTCTTCGTCTCTTTTTATATTAATCGTATATTTATTTATTATTAACGCACACGGTTAAAATTTTGGAGTTGTACAATGATTCCCAGTTGTACTATTTATGTTTAAAAAACGACACTGTTATCGTCAACGGTCATACCACGCTGAAAACACCAGTTCTCGTCCGATCACTGCAGTTAAGCAGCATTGGGCACGGTTAGTACTTGGATGGGTGACCACTTGGGAACACCGTGTACTGTTGGCGTCCATTTCTTTTTTGAATAATTTCTCGAGATTTCTGTATATAGCTTTCATACATTTATTTATTTAGTACTCACGATTGAGACAAATTTTGCAGCGGTGCTGTATTTTTCAAATCAATATTTACAAAATGGAGAAAGAGAAATGAACTTTAATTTTCTCTTCCTTCTTCCTCAATTATTTCTTCGAGCTTTTTTTTATTTTAATCATATATTTATTTATTACTAACGCACATTGTCAAAATTTTGAAGTTGTACAATAATTTTCAGTTACCCAGTTCATGCTTAAACAAAGACGGTATAACCGTCAACGGTCATACCACGCTGAAAACACCAGTTCTCGTCCGATCACTGCAGTTAAGCAGCGTTGGGCATGGTTAGTACTTGGATGGGTGACCACCTGGGAACACCGTGTACTGTTGGCGTTCATTTTTTTTTATTCTTTTTGATATTTTCTCAAGATTCCCGTATACAATCTTCATATATTTATTTATTTAGCACACACGATCGAGACACATTTTGCAACGGTGTTGTATTTTTCAAACCACTGTTCACAAAATTGAGAAAGAGATGAGCTTTCTAGTTTTTTCTTCCTTCTTCCTCAATTATTTCTTCGTGTTTTTTTTTATATTAATCGTATATTTATTTATTACTAACGCACATGATCAAAATTTTGGAGTTGTACAATAATTCCCAGTTAGATAGTTCATGTTTAAACAAAGACGGTACAATGGTCAACGGTCATATCACGCTGAAAACACCAGTTCTCGTCCGATCACTGCAGTTAAGCAGCGTTGGGCACGGTTAGTACTTGGATGGGGGACCACTTGGGAACACCGTGTCCTGTTGGTATTTATTTTTTTTCTTGATAATTTCTCGAGATTTCTATAGTCTTCATAGATTTATTTATTTAACACACACATAAATTTTGTAGCGGTGTTGTATTTTTCGAGTAACTAGTTGATTTAAAACATTCAGATGACAGACGCCAATTATTTCTCGTTTCTTCCTCTAGCTTTCAATATGTTCTTGACGAATATTTTACAATTATGTTTTATCTATTCAAATCTAGTAAATATATAAAAATATTAAGTCTGGATGCTTTTTAAACTGGAACGGGGATGTGATCATCCTCGAAGTACATACTCCCCCCCTGACAAAATGCATTTAGTCCAACGCTTTTGTCAATCCTTTTAGGAGCTTCGTTTCTCGTTTTATAGTATCAACATCCATAAAATGTTCATCCTGCATAATATTTTTCATTTTAGGGAACAAGTGGAAGTCACAGGGTACTATATCAGCTTCCAAATTACATGGTACTATATACTTCCAAGTTACATGGTTTCGTCGCATAAACCTTACTTTTGATTTGTCCCCAAAAAAAGAAATCAAGAGGAGATAGATCAGGTGATCTAGCAGGCCACTCAATGGAACCTCTCCTACTTATCCATTGATTAGGAAAAGAACAGTTTAAAAATTTTCGAACTCGTACCGCAAAATGAGGTCCTACTCCATCTTGCTGGAACCAAACGTTTTGCATGTTTGCGTCAAATAAATTTTCAATTTCAGGAATGATATGATCTCGCATAAATTTACATATTTTTCACCATTTAAATCACCATCTATGAAAAATAGGCCTATAATACCGCGACTACAGATCCCTATTCAAACATTCAATTTTTGTGGATATTGTGTGCGAAGATCACTCACTTAACATGAATTTTCGTCACTCCAATATCTACAATTGTAGCGATTAACAGCACCATTTATTTGAAATGTGGCTTTATCAGAAAAAATAACAAAATTGAAAAAGTTAGCATTATCATCACACCGATGCATCAGTTCTTCACAAAACTGAATTCTTCTATCAAAATCATCTCTCATAAGTTCTTGAGCGATAACAATTTTATACGGATAATATTTATGCTTTTTTAAAATGTTAGAAACGCTGCCTTCACTGATATCATTTTTTGGGCTTGTGCTGTTTTTGATATGGACAAATGGGGATTTTCCTGAAATGATTGGAGAACATCCAAAATCTTATCATCATTAGTTGCGGATTTCGGCCTTCCGCTGCGAGATCGGTCCTTAACTATTCCCGTTTCAAAAAAACGAGTCACTGTTCTGCGAACGGTGGATTCAGAAATAGGATCGAGATCAGGATGTGAAACATTGAATAGATCAGCTACTTCTTGATATGATCTAATACGGTTACCAAATCCTCGATAAATAAGTAGCAATATTCTTTCTTTTTCGGTCAACATTTTTCAGAGAAAAATGTGATATTATAATCGGAAAAAGAAACACATGTAGAAATATTTCTCATATAAAGCAAATTTTGAGCAAAAAGGTGTGCTGACTAGAGCGACGCATTGCGACTACGGCGCATAGAGCGACTCGGACTGTTGCCAGAGAAAAAAAGAAGAAAAGAAGAGAGAACGGTGACGTGTGTGTGATAACGGAGCGTTTTGAGAGATAAAGCCTTCACTTCGAGACGTTCGACTAATTCTTGAAAGTTCCAATCCTCTCCCATCCTTACTGACCATTTAACTAGAACGCTCCCGTATATACCTATACGAAAGAGACAAAGAACGAGATACGAGCGAGCGCAACTCGTTTTTAGAATATGTGGACTGAGAAGCATCTCTGATCGCACCTCCGCGCGATACACTTTGGGTAATGCTAATGCCGGCGGTACTGTAACTTTCAAGCGTCATAACTCGGAAAGAACTTAATAAAAAATGACTTCATTATAGTGTTTTGGAAAGCTCTCGAGATAAGCTACAAGAATTTCCAATAAAAAATAGGGAGTTCTATTTAAAAAAACAAAGTTGACCCTCATGACCTTAGCAACGCCACCTATGGTCAAACTGATATGACTACTAAATAGATCTTTTTAAGCCCTACAACTTTTATATGAAACATTTTTTCGTATCTTTTATATTTTTCGAAATATTTTAGCGTTCCCGGACTTTTTGAAGACCCTGTATATGTTATGTGTTTTATATATATATATATATATATAACGCATAAACATATATATTTTAAAGTGATTATTAAACGAGGAAAAAATTTTAATGATAATATGACGCGAGGGGTTCAGCTGATTTCTTATATAGCGACGAACCTGAATGCACCGCGATTGTCGCCACGGCCGCTGAGTGCGGGGGGGGCAGGAGGATAGTGGGTGTCACCTCTTGAATTTCGCCTGAAGTGTGCAGATGACGATCTCCAGCTCTGGTAGAAAATCGTACTTGAAACGGTATATGCAGCGACATCTGTACGAAGGAACAGGTACTTCAGCATTTGACCAGCAAATAAAACTGCTGCTATAGGTTTTTTCTTTCTCACGTTTCAATTGGTACGTCGTTTCTGAGGTGTTGGAGATGAGGGAAGTCGTTTGCGCTGTGAAATGAAAAAAATCGACATAAAAATTATTAAAAAAAAATATATATTTATAATAGGCAGCGTCGCGTTCACTACTTAAAGCGGATTATAAGCATAAGCTCTTTTAAAAGCCTTAAAAAGGAATGTCACACATTATCTTCTTGTCACAGACAAGACATTCGATACTTAAATTTGTTCATATAAAAAATAAACAAAGGAACGGAGAAATACATCGAAAATGGATAATATAATAATACGCGTATGCATGTACCTCTGACATAATAATTCTACGATATCTGAATGAAAAAAAAAAAAAAACAAAAAAATGTGTCCATGACACTTTAATACGATTTTTTATCTAGTAAGAAATCCATTAGAAATAAATATCACGTAATTGAGACTAACATTAACATCATAATAAATTATATCGAGATATTTTTCTTTTCTATTAAATTGTCACGTCTAGTTTTCGTTACATACCAATCTGACGATCACAGATAAATTAAAGAGTGCGCGACATATATTATAAATCGTAATTACAAGTTTATTTAACGCTATAAGTTCTACACATTTAAAGTCGGTATCAGCACGACGACAGTATTTTCCCCGTCCATTTTTATAGTATAATAGGTAAATTACGTCTAGATACATGTAATTTCTAGACATCGTCTTAGCCGAGGGGATATATCTTGTAGAAACCGTAATCGTAAAATTCCTCTCAGATGAAATTCCCTTTACTTCACCAAGCCCATCTTTTTAGCTTCCACTTCGTAGATTAGTAACCTCCACATTTTGACTACGAATACTTCTGCTTCTTCGTCTAACACCTAGAACACACGACAGATACGCATTCCGTAACGTTTGTATGTAAAATATAATCAACATATAACATCTGTGTCGTAATCTGTAATAATTACCATCTGTACATCGTCAAGTATTCCCTGAGGAGAACTACCTGCCATCACTTTGCTACAAATAAAATCTACCAGAGTAGGTTCCGGTTCGCCGATATATTCAATAATCTTTTTATTGATCCAAGGTCTGATCCTTTTTTCCATTAATGTCTAAAAAAGAAAAAACACGTATATGGAGCACTATAATCAACGTAAGTTGGATTTATCATTATGGAAATCATTATAATATTCCACACAGAGAAAATAAACTGAATTAAAACACAACCGAAATTCAGTGGTATTGATGAAACTACCCACATCGAAGAATTGTTATAGAGGCAAAGTTTATAAATACACAATATTGATACATACGTTGTCTATCACTGCCCAGTCGAGTTGGTAGCCGAATAACGCATTTTTATCGGTAGGTATTTTATCTATGAGAGATTTGATGTGCTTTCGTTTTTCTTCTTGGCTTTTTGTACTTTCTTCCTTCGCCGGTTTCGTAGTTTCTTCTGGCTTTTTCTTTTTATCATCACCATAATCTTTCAAAAACAAAGACTATAAGTATTTTAATCTCGTCTCATCAGGAATATTAATGAAGGGGTACTGAGATATTAACCTAATGGTACGAGTTTACGTTTCTTCGCGGTATTAGCTGCGTCGTCGTCGTCATCGTTATTAAAAACGTCTTTGACATCCATACGACCCTTCTTCCGCGTCTGATTCGCCTGCTGCGAATTCGTGTTGGCAGCTGCACTTGGACTGACCGGAGTTTTGCCTCCTACGGCGTGATCTCCACTGGCACGATTGCCTCCACTTCCCATAGCGAACGGAACGAAATTACCTGTCGCGACAAAAATACATATAAATGAGATTACCACGACAAAGTGATCACATCATGCCATCATACCTAAACGAGCCGAAATACTTACTGCCGCTCGTCTTCTCCGGCTCGCTGACCAACGACATACGCGAGTCCTCGTCCAACGTCGGTGGAATGGATTGAGCGGGTGTCGTGGCCTGAGCCGGAGACGGCCGCGCGTCTTTCAAGCTTTCTCGGTCCGCTGCTTCTATACTGCCTTCCTGATTCTCCTCGCCCTCGCGATGGTGATTTTGATGATGTCTGTGATGCCGGCGATGATGATGATGATGTCGTGGTGGCGTTCTGGACGGAACCTCTGGCTGAGAAGCGTCATCGAATTGCACCCCGTCGTCGCTGTCACTCTCAATTGGCTCGGTTTCTAGTGGCGGCATCACCTCTTCTTTCTTCGTCGCCTTCTCGTCTTCTTCGTCGATTATAGTAATTACTGGTTTAGGCTTATATTGTTCCTCTCTTTCGGCTTTCAGCTAAAACGATGGATGTGCACGGTATATAAGTTGAGGAGCAAGAAAAATTATACATTCAAAGGTTGAATCCGTTACAATCAATCTTTGTTTCTTTTAATTACGAATTAATTATGAATTAATACTAATACTACCAAGCAGTCGAAACTGACCGATTTACAATTTCCTATACAACAGATTACTAAAATTTACATAACGATGCATTTTATATCTTGTCAATGGGTGTTAAATAAAATTAAAAGAAATAAACATCTGTGCTCTTGCAGAATGTATTTTTTCAAAAATCTATCATTTAGACTGCTCCGGTTGTATTAATCGTCAATGGTTTTAATCTTAAACGACTCACCCTTTCGAATTCCGCAGCAGGATCTGGATGAGAGGCGTCGGCGTACAATTTGTCACGCAGACGCTGAAGCTCCTGGCGTTCAGTGCAGCGGTCCCGCGAGTCCGCCTCGGCCTCGACCGCACGTTCTTCCAGTCGACGGGACAGCTCTTTGCCCTTGTAGTACTTGGCGTCATCGCGATCGTCGTCGTAGTCCTCGAGAAACTCTTTGAGACGCTTCGCCTCTCTCTCGCGGGTCTCGCGTTTCCCGCGGCGTTTCTCCGCCTCCTTCTCGTGCTCCTTTTGTTTACGTCTCTCGCGCGTTTCCCACGCCCTCAGACGTTCCTGGTAAGCCGCTTCCTTCTCTCTCGCTCGCCTCTCATTCTTCTTCCTCTCTTTCGCCTCTTCCTCCTCCTCTCTTTCGCGCATAATTTCCCTCTCAGTTTTTCTCATCTCTTCGCGCTCCCGCTCCCTCTCCCTCTCCCGGTCTCTCTCCTTCTCGCGATCTCGCTCGCGCTCCCGCTCGCGTTCTCTTTCACGATCCCGATCCCGCTCCCGTTCCCGCTCTCGATCTCTTTCGCGGTCTCTGTCCCGGTCCCGGTCTCGGTCACTTCTCGGTCGATCTCTGTCGCGTTCTTTAGACCTGGAGGATTTAAACTCATGACATGAGTTTCATTGTTTACCTACAAAGTTGGTTCAACTTTGTTCCAACAAGTAAAATTACAAATTATACAAGTGAAAAGACCGTCTTCCGTTTTTTTTTATTTTTATTTATGTAATTTATGTTTATTTTTATTTATGTAAGTCAAACGAAATTAGAATAAATCAAAGATTATTTTCTACAGAAAAAAATTATTTGTTTGATGTCTCACCGTGATCTGGATCGGCGTTTGTCCCTTCTGCTGCTGCCGGTACTATCGCTACGACCCTTATGAGACGTAGGGCTACCAAGGTCTCCATCCTGATCGTCCTTGTTGGAGATATCGTCGTCGCGCTTATCGCGCCGTTCTTTTTCCCGCTTCTCGCGCTCCTCCTTCTCGACTGCCTCCTTCTTCCGCTTCACCTGGGCCTTCTCCTCTTCCTGCTTCTATAAAACACAAGAACGCGGGTGCAGGTGAGACGAGAATGTCGAGACAAGCGCGTCGGTCTTGTGATAATGATGGAACCAAGAAACTAGCAATCGTATCCTCCTTAGGTATACAACAAAACGAAGAGCAGGGAGATGCATTATGTGCCATGTATTTGTGTGTGTGTGTGTGTGTGTGTGTGTGTGTATGTGTGTGTGTGTGTGTGTACGTTTAAATAAATGTCAATAAGAGTTCTATTAGCCATTTTGTCACAGCAATATGTACTAATTACTCACAAACAAAACCGTTAAATCAAAAGCTAACGAACATCACAATTCGTGAGATAAATTTTGCCTGTGTATCTTTCGCCAGTGGTAAATGTACAAATGCTTCTGCTCATTTTCACGAATATCCTTATCGATTTCGTGATCGTTTCGTTTCTTTTTCTTTCTTTCTTTTCTTTTTTTTTTCTTTTTGGCACAGTGGAGAGATAGAGAAAACGTATTGATAGAAAAGAAAATCGCACTAAAAACAGTCATACTCGATACAGTTAGTACACGCAGAACGATTACTAGTTGTATAAGCCTTAATAATCATCTGACATAACGAATGTAGAGAGATGTTCATTTCAATATGGTATACTCACTCCACTGGAGTATGCTCGAACGGCGGCATCTTACGCGAAATCTCGGTTTACATATCAATTACCTAAGTGCAGGTACAAATATTTGGATACAGGCATAAGAGTTGTCTTAGGCTCTAGCTTATAAATATAAGTACCTTAAACGCTAAACAGATGCATCGCAGAGGCCACCCAATGTACTTACAACATTGCAAATGTGCCTGTAAAATCGATAGTGTCTAAATCTATGGTAATATATTCTATTAAGAGCTTTGAAAGGGGATTCTCTTTCGAGATTATTTAGTGACTCTTGATCAATATTCAATAATTATTAGAAAATATAATACCAATCGGAGGCGCAGTCATCACGAAGGAGGGTATCCACCAAAACATCTTTTCACATTTGCCAAGAAACTGTCACACTGTTCTGTCAACATTGTTTTCCTCTGGTAATGGTTACACGCGTAATGGCAGCTGATGCAGCAAACTGTTGGATATCAAATGCACAATAGTTTGCCCACCGTTAACGACTCGTGTTATAAACGTGACGTCTTAGAAATAAATTAGTATGGTTCATCCTTATTCGTTATACTAGTATCCAAGATGGGTTACTGTTTGGAAAATCTCGATCGGTCGAGATTAAGAAAAAGTGATGTGCCAGCGCGAGGCGCGCGCGCGTGCGCGCGCGTAAGTCCACGTTTAAACCGCGAATACACGCGTATTAATGTATGTATTTGTCGAGGAAGTAAATTTAACGATAAGTGAGAAGAGCTACTCGCGTTACATTAGCATGCAAGCTCACGTATCTTTTCTCTGAATGCTCTTCCTGACGACGATCATACTATACTATCACGATCATATACGATCATACTATCAGAAACGGCATCGCTGCGGTTCGCGCTAATATGTATGCTTGCAGTTGCTTGCGATCACGAAACTTAAAAAATAATTCATCGTGTTTCGCAGTACTTTTATCGACAAGTCGTTCTTAGTGTTTTGCACCAACCCGGTTTACCTACTTCAGCATAATGGAACGTACAAGCCGTCTCTCTCTCGTCCATACGGTAACCCATGATTCTTGAAAAAACTTGTTTTAAGCTAACAAGGGATAGAGAATAACTCGGTGCATGAAAGTAGATGCACGTTGTGAGGAGAAAATAGACTGCTGTAATATGAAACGTGGTCAAAAGGTATCACTGATTCGGGGGGTAGGCGGTTTCACTAGCAAAAAAACTACAAGAACCGAATGCTCGTGTTTGGCTCATGGTTGTGGAGTTTACTCACGGTGTGAAGTTGACTTGGTCAGTCAGTGTGGTGGTACCGGAGAATGGAGGAGCGCGCGCACCTAGGTACTACATGTCTGATCGAGACGCTGACAGAAGCTGTTTACACAAAATAAAGACAACAACTGAACAGTCGCCATTTTGATGATGACAAAATCATTTTTCATTGTGTGTAGCGTACAGAAAGTCTCCCGGCCCTATCATAGTAGTCTATCCGATAGATGTATCACAATAATATGTCAGCGCCAAAGTGTTTTGCACAAAATGACAATACATTCCAATCCTAGAGTGTGCGTGAAAGCAACCTGGAGAACCGCTTACCTACGTTCGATATGCGAATACTAGACTGCTAGGCGACAGCATGACGATATGCTGCGGCGTTCATTTCATTTGTAACGCGCTTATGTGCCACGTGATATTTTCAAGATCGCACATACATGCTCAACTAATTGTAAAGACAATAATATACAGCGATTCGTTAGATACAAATCACTTGGTGATTACCCTCGAATAAAAACTTAGCTCGAATAAATGAAACAAAAGACAACTATGCGCTTGTAAAATATGCAGAAACGGAATACAGTCGCAAGACAGACGACAGAAGAAATCAGTCTTACTTGGACTCATCGAAAAAGAAAGTATACATTCAATGCGCCCGTATCTCAAATGCTGTCGCTAGCAGTTTAGCATGACATATACAGAAGTAGATAACGTTAGTCACCAAATAAATCGTAATCGTGTCTATCTCTAAACGTCAAAAATATAACAGCCGCAATGTAGCGCAGAGATCAGTATTTGCGACGTATTCAGTAAAACAGAATACCAATAGAAACTAAGTGATCAGCTACATGTCGCCAGCTTGCCACGGAGAGCTACGAGTCTCCTTTAGTAATATATACATATATTGCGCATATTTCTTGTTCTCTCATTTTTTTTCATGTTTGGTTGTTTTGGATTTGTACTCTGACTTACCGACGAGGCTGCAGCCGCCTGCGAAAATACGAGGGATGTGCTGTGATTGACTCCCTTCAGAGCCAATGAGTGAGTGAAAGGGTGGTCCCCACACACAGCATTCCTAGGCGTGTGCGTTTGCTGTGTGCGACGCACGCTGCCTGTTATTATAATTATAGCAACGAGTCACGGCTCCAATTGTTCAGAGCTAACATAGCACACACGCACTTTACCACAAAATACTTAAGAGCTACGGCTTTCGTTACGAGATACTCATAATCCTCTCTTGTACATACAGATACATTCTTTTACACTTTAAGTGTACAGAGAGAAAGAGAGAAAGAGAGAGAAAGAGAGGGGGGAGGGAGAGAAGGAAAGAGGGACAGAAAGAGAAAGAGAGAGATTGATAAATAGAGACAAACATATTATTAATTGATTGACTGATTGAGACTGATTGATTGAGACAAGGAAGGAAAGAAAAAGAAATAGATAGAGAAAGAGAAAGAGAGAAAGACAGAAGGTCTAGCAGTAGTCTGTGATAAGAAGTAGTATGCAATTGGACACTTGCGATTTTCACGTTGCAAGAAAGTCAGCCTGCCATTCAGATTATTTAAGGATAACGCGTAAAATCGCGTCCAATCGTAATATCTCTGCGAAGTAGCTGTTATAACGGTAATTTATCGATAAACATTAAGAGATTTTCTTTCGTGTATAGCACAAATTCACAAATTTCACGTCGTGTTTTATGCCGATGCATACCTCTAATTTCATACAAGTTGACAAAACTTAACATAACGTTTTTCTTTTCTTCGTGTATTCAATGTCTCAAGATGTTGCGGCAATTTTGAATGAACGCAAACGATATTCGATCAACGTCGTTAACATATTTAAACTTTTTTAAATTGACGAATGAGTCGATACATATACAAAAGATACGTGTCGTAAAAGTAACAAAAATAATAAAACAATACAAAGTATTACAAACATATACTTGGTGATATCTTAAAGAAAAATGCAAAATATTCTAATAATTTCACAACACCAAAGTGGCAACGAAAAAGACACAAGAAAGTGAAGCAAAAAAAGAAGTGATTCAAATATTCAGAGAAGATACAATTACACATTACCTTAAGCGAACGGTAATATTTTATCATTAATGCTAATATATTAATAGTTCGATTGAACTATATTCTTTGCCTAATCTTGCTGCATCTAAAATGCGGTATTACATCCCATTGAAATTCCATTATTTGTTAATAATGACAACTATATTCGATTAAAAAAAGATATGTTTATAATGCTTCGTAGGCCGAATTTTACACGTGAGTAATATCAATCTTGTGATTGGTGTCAACACACTTGTAAAGTACCTTCTTAGCATACTGTATCGTAAGTACTTAGTATACTTACGATACTTTCTTGAAGAAGAGAATTCCATCTTTTGTTATGTCTACGCGATACAAATTTCTTTTTACGACAAACAATGAAAAAAAAAAAAGAAGACAGGACTCAAAGAACGAAAGAGATATAAAAATATTCATGATAATAATTACCTTCATGACTTCTCTGAATTTGCCGATCTCCCGGGTAATCAAGTCTCTTTTACTCTCTTCTATCTCCGTGTCATCCAAGTTTAAGGACTTAGCTACTATTTTTGTCTGGTGTTCCTCTGCAATGAGTAACATTAATATTATCTATCATATACATTGTTGTCCTATAATGTATATATGATTATTGTACTAGGTGCGCAACTAAGTTCCCGGGTTTCACACATGGATGGCGCTAACGACACATGTAGTGTTTTTTTTATAGCTTGGACATCTGTTAACAATAACCAGTCGTAATACCAACACATATCGCAACGCAAAAATATCTTTTCTAATAACGAAGATGTCGAGTTTTGTGCCAAATAAACAGCATTTGCGGGAAGCTTTGCTTTTCTGCTTTAACTTGAAAAAAAGTGCAGCTGAAACACGTCGTTTGCTTGAGGAAGGCCTACGGTGAGCATCGAAAACTACCTGTGAAGATTGGTTTAAACGCTTCAGAAGTGGCGATTTCGACACTGAGGACAAGGAGCGCTCCGGAAGACCAAAAACAAGCCGGAGGACGCCGATCTGCAAGCGTTATTGGATGAAGATGATACGCAAACACAAGATCAACTTGCGGAGGCATTAAACATAACTCGCCAAGGTATTTCCAAACCTTTACATGCCATGGGAAAATTCAAAAGGAAGGAAAATGAGTGCCACATGAGTTGACTGAGAGACAGATGGAAAATCGAAGAGTCACTTCCGAAATTTTGCTTTTGCGGCATGAAAGAAAGAGTATCCTGCATCGAATTGTTACTGGCGATGAGAAGTGGATATATTTTGAGAATCTCAAACGCAAAAAATCGTGGCTTTCATCTGACGAAGCATCGACATCGACGGCACGGCCAAATCGCTTCGGAAAGAAAACAATGCTCTGCGTTTGGTGGGACCAGAAAGGAATCGTGTACTATGAGCTGCTGAAACTGGGCGAAACTGTCAATGGGCATCGCTACCGACAACAACTGATCAATTTGAACCATGCATTGCTTGAAAAACGGCCAGAATGGGACACGAGACACGAACGAGTGATATTGCAGCACGACAACGCTCCGTGCCATTGCATTTCCATCGTCCAGGACACCATCGAAACGCTGAAATGGGATCTGCTACCGCACCCGCCGTATTCGCCAGACCTGGTCCCTTCCGATTATCACTTGTTCCGGTCGATGGCGTATGGCTTGGCTGGGCAACACTTGGCCAATTTCGAAGAAGTGCAAAATTGGTTGGATGAATGGTTTCGGTCCAAAGACGCGTCGTTTTATCGTCGCGGTATTCATGTATTGCCAGAGAGATGACAAAAATGTGTAGCTAGCGAGGGACGATACTTTGAATAAACCATTTTTTGTATTACTCTTGAAATTTTCCATTTTTCATTGATCAAAAAAACCCGAAAACTTAGTTGCGCACCTAGTACAATATACAATATGCAAGAATTAAAAATTATACAAATAATCACCTGGAGCAACTTGTGCCATTTCTAAGTCTATGGCATGCTCCGCTATGATCTGATTGATGCGAGCCAGCGCGTCGGCGTCGACCACTCTCATACCTTCGTCCATGTAGTCTTCACCTTCCTCGCCGTCGGCTCCGTCGGTAGATGTTTCGTCTTGCAATGGCGACTGACCACCTCTCAGTTTCTTCCTTCGCTCAGCTGCGAAATAACACACATATAATTAGTTTCATCCTAATCCGTGCTGTCGCTCTTATCGCTGAAGATTCCTACCTTTGAAATGGTCCAGGACTACCTTAGTTTTAGCATCCACTTTGACGAGAAGTTTTTTCGTGCCAATTTCCATGTCATGTAACAATCGCACCGCCCTGAGGCCAGCGTCGGGGCCAGCGAATTCACAAAATCCGAACGCCTGCACTCTTTTCCATGAAAGCACGTGACCGCAAGCACCCAGAATGTGACGCATCATCACGTCGGGTGCTCTGTCCATTATGTTACCAACGAACACGGTGACAGGCGGGCCAGGTTCCCTTTCGCGCCGGCGATTGTTATCGTGGCGATTTTGATTGCGCGAATAGCGTACAGCCGGCGCGGATGTCTGCATCGCAGATACGGGTGTTGGAATCATCTATGTTTTATAAATGGTAGGATTCTTAATTATGCACATGTCTACTCATGCACTCTGCATTTCCCCTCTCTTTCTAACTGTGCGATTAATTCATTCTTATTTTAACTATTTCAGCATTGCTACAAATTAACAGCTTATCATTCCACTTTACACACGCGCATATATCATGCACAAAATAAAAATAGCGTATGGAAGATAGTCGTGTGTTAAATCAGAAGATTAAGCTATATGTGTAAAGTTGTTTCACAAAATATTTCTCATGTATATATTTCAAATAAATTTATGATATCATAATCATACATGTCAATATTTTATACATTATTAGAATATATAGCAATATAGAATGAAAGTTTTCAAGACAAAATTTAAGAAAGATATATAGACATATATACTTTTGATTCATCAAATCACACAAAGCAATACATTATAATAAATTATGTGTATATGTGTGTGCTTTATGGTATAATGATAATAATAATAATAATACAAAACATATATGCATTAATCAATATTGCGGCTCAACGGTACATAGAATTATGTTTATTCCGTAGGTAACAATTTGAAAACTAATTTCACAACAGCAGCAAAAAAGCAAAAGTTCCTACATATAAATTTGCCACTTAGTTTGCATATAAATAAAGACAGTGTATTTTACAAACAATCTATTCTTATCAAAACACAATTATCATGCCTTAATATGATAGAATTTACTTACATGTGCCATGGGCATGACTCCACCTATAATTGGGGGAGGTGCACCAACCATGTATGGCATTGGAGGCATTCCTGGAATACCCATAGGTGGCTGACCAGGATAAGACATGATTACGATGAATTTATACTATACAGCAATAGATACTCTGTAACAAAAAAATTATTTGACTTTTAAATCATAAACATACTTTCTTAAGATTAAATCAACTGTAATCATATAAACTTAAAATTAAGTAAATTTTATCATAAATCACACAATTATTATAAATATTTGTATAAATAGCGATATATAGTAATATACAAGAAATACAAGTGCGCAGTATAACAAAATTACGATAAAAAATATATGAATTAATAGGAGACATTAGAATTTCAAATGAAGAATTTGATGTGTATCTAGCAACAATTATGTACACAGCAACAGTTATGTATTCTTTCAGACACGGTGCACAAAGGAGCATTCGTCATCTCGTAGTTTGCGATAAAGTTGAATTTCGCAAACCGTATGCTCCTTTTTTCGCAAACATACGGCGGCACATTTTCCATGAAAGAAATCGGCAATAATTGCGATTATGGCCGCGACGTGAAAGTAAAATGCTTCAGCCACTAACACACTCACAACGGAGAAAGAAAGAGTGAAACAGAGAATAGCAAGAAGGAGAACGAGAATGAGAGAGTGATAAAGAGGAGGAGAGAAAGAGAGAGAGAGAGACAGAGAGAGAGAGAGAGAGAGAGAGAGAGAGAGAGAGAGAGAGAGAGAGAGAGAGAGAGAGAGAGAGAGAGATGGAGAGAACGAATGATACGTCGATGCGGATGAATTCTAACCACTAAACGAACACCAAGAGGGAGCATTAAAACAATACTCACACAATGGGCTTGCGATCAATCCATTTCGATCTATCACGGCAGAAATCCGCACGTTATTCCGATAAAAATTTCGTCGGTCTGACTATAACTATCGTCTGAACGACACGAAATGCACTTCGATTTTAACATCAAGGCATTTCCTTTACTTCGCCCACTATGGCGCCGCGATTGCTCGGCAGAGATTAGTTGTGAACTAGAAGGTAATGCGCAAGGTTAGAGAAAACTTCACAATTCATTTATTAACGGCTATGATTCACGAATGCCCAGACACAGTTGCATTGTACGGAGTCGAAAATCCCTAAAATGTAACTGCGAAGACAGCCAATAGCGAATAAGCGGAGTTGTTGACATCGAACAGAAACGATTCAGATTGGCTTGTGGTCCCTCTTTGTCCCGAATCACAGCGTCCTTACGACAAGTCTGAATTCATATTACATGGTTATGTTCTAGTATATCCTCAGATCTATGGTTTCAGCTGATCGGCGCTTCCGTTCGCGTAATGGCAGTTGATGGCAGTGCGTATCCGACTCGGACTCGGGGAGAGGTGAATACTTTGGCGGAGCGTGGGTTGTAGCGACTCGACGAGCGTCGCTCTATGTCGGCGGCTGTAACGACAAACCGTTGCGGGCATTGACACACGTGTTCGACGCTTCAAAGTGTGCTTCCCGTTCATATTGCTCATATTGTACGGGAGCGACGACGACGAAAGACCGACACATCATACACACACACACACACACACACACAACGTAAACGTCGGCGAGACGTTACTCTTGGCGCTTCCATTAACATATACATAACATAGCCGCACTGTACCGAAACCATTCTCCCGTAAAAGCCGTATCAGACGGTGCGTGAAAAATTGCGAATTGCAAATCAGAAATTGACCAATTGAATAATTTGGATTTTCACTCGCTTCATTCTGATTGGTTTAGTGTCAATCTACAGTTCGCATTCCTCGATCTCCAATACTTGGTGTTGTATGAACTTAAAGAGTCGGCCGCTTATCAATTTCATTCGCATACCGCAAATCTCTAGCTCGTCATCGCAAAATACGAAGAGTAAGTGCGAGAGGCAAGTCGCCGGCTAATCGTCGCGATATATGAAGGATATCAATTATCCTGAGAACAGTATTTTATATGTGTGTGTGTGTGTGTATATATGTGGTGCACATGCAGACACACACACACACATATATATGCATATATATTTATGTTTTTAAATATATTTATAAATATATATGCACGTATTCATATTTACATATAAATCATTGGTTTCTCGCTTTCAAATTCGTAGTTAACCATTAGAATGTTCTCGATAATCAACTAGACTACGAATCTCAATCTCACTGTGAAGGCTCGAGATACTAGGATGCAGGATATGAATTCCTTTCATTAAGTAATAAATAAATTGTTCCTTAAGAATTTATACAACATGTAAGTATATTTATTATCGTAGAAAATAACATAGGAAAGAGAATTGTACTTATATTTCTATCTGAAATTTATACAAGTCCATTGTTGTTATGATATTATTGTTTGTTAGGACTTTCTAATTAGTAATTAATTGGTAGATTTTTTATGACAAACTATATATATATGTATGTGCACTGATAATAGTGTATATAAAATAATAAATATATTTATTTGATACTTTATATTTTACTAGAAATCTGAAATGTAATAATAGCTTTGCTTATAAATTTTTATTAAAATCTATATTTTTGTGTTTGCACCTATTTTAACCAATATGCTTTCACATGTCCTCTAGGATTACAGAGGAAATATCTGTCTCTTATTCTTAAATGTAAGTGTATGTATAAATATTTTGAATTTTATAATATATTGATAACAGTCATTAAAAAAATAACATACAGGAAGTATACATATCTTTCTAATGAAGAAATTTGCATAGTTAATACACAAATAAAAATATGTTGACAAATATGTACTAGTATTTGAAAGAATCATGATAGATTATTGTAATTAAAATTATTTATATGTACAATATTATTATACAATTCTTGTAAATTCCTGTAACCTACAAGATTGTGAGAGTTTATTAAACATTATACTAGTGTTTTGTTCATATTAAATCTCAAACACTCATGATATCATTTTAACAATGCTGTAAAATAATTTTTACATTATAGATTTTATATGTGACTTTCTATTTAAATTGTAACATAGTTTCTGCAAAAAGATAGAATTATGTACTATATATAATTTAATAGTGATAAAATGCCACCAAGGCGTGTAGAAGACGTGCCTGTTAAAAGAGTAGCAGCCGCAGGGTGCAAATTACCAGCACAATTGCCAGCAGGAGAAATTCTAACAGATATTACGCAAAATAAATGGAAATTGGGAAATACGATTGGCTATGGTGGTTTTGGAGATATATACCTAGGTACGTTTATATATTTAAGGCTTGACTGCATTTCTAAATCCACAATAGTTATTCTAAATTAAATTATAAAAACATTTTTTATTTTATAGCTTCCAACGACATTACATCGCCTGTTGGGGAAGATGCAAAGTATGTTATAAAAATTGAACCTCACAATAATGGGCCGTTATTTGTCGAAATGAATTTCTACATTAGAGCGGCACGCAGGCACATGAGTAAATAATTTTTAATATTTTACAACAGATAAATCGTGAAAATATATATAAAATTAATATAAATGCACATACACAAACATTTCTGGCTTTCTGATATCTGTGCAGTTGAAAGCTGGTGTAATTCACAAGGCAAAAGAAGGATTGGTGTCCCTACATACGAAGGATCAGGGTCTCATGTTTACAGAGGCCAACGGTACAGGTTTCTGGTAATACCGCGGTATGGTATAGATATCGGAAAATTATTTCTAACGCACAGGAGAAAGTTGCCAACAAAACTCGTCAACACGTTAGCTGTACAAATGGTAAAATTTGCGATCGAAATTGAATGTGATATGCATTTTGGACCTCGCAGTTGTATTAAAGTTGCAATTTTTCTTGCAGTTGGACGCGTTAGAGTATATTCACAGTAAGGGATACGCTCATGCGGATATAAAGGGACCAAATATCCTGCTTGCGGGAACATACGGGGAAGGAATAGGAAGAGAAAAGTCCGAAGCATATTTAGTGGACTACGGATTGGCGTATCGTTTTCGCACAGGAACTGGTCAGCATAAATCGTTCGTACACGACGAGAGAAGAGCTCACGAAGGCACTTTAGAGTATACATCGCGGGATGCTCATCATGGAAGTATGTCGATTAATTTCAAAAACAAACTTTCTTATATCTGTATAATGTTTTATCGGCTATGAAGAAAGAAAAATAGAAAATTTTCTCATTAATTAAAATATGTTCCAGCACACTCAAGGAGAGGAGATTTAGAGACTTTAGGATATAATATTATACAGTGGTTATGTGGAAAGCTGCCATGGGAAAAAACTAATGATGAGATGAGTTTACTGAATCCAGAAGAAGTTCATGCACAAAAGGAAATTCTTCTCTCAGACTTACCTTTGTTTATGGACAAATGCTTCCCTGACAAGAAAAAGCCGCCTGGTTTGTATATTTTTATTAAATATTGGGTTAGACAAAAAATTCAATTTGATGTTAAATCAAATTTGATTATTCTCTTTTTTTACGTTGAGTAAAAATATATGTCAACCAAGCAATTGTTGTCTATGATTCTCCTTTTTTCGTAAAAGATGATTGATTTACCATCAAAGAAAGCGGAAGGTTAAACTGAATTTTTTGGCTGATGATATAAGAAATAAAATTTGATCTTTATTTTAACTTTGCATATTTTTTATAGCTGCGATTTTAGAATATATGAAGCATATCACCGAGCTAGAATTCGAGACTAAACCCAATTATTCTTATTTGCGGAATTTGTTTCTGTATGGCGGTAGTCAAGACGGCAATATACCTTCGTATCTTTATTATATGAAGGAATCCAGTGAAAATCTTACGTGCTCCACATTTTTTGAGCGTCCATATCTAAGAGAAAGAAAACCTTGTAGGCCTGTAAACGGCGAGGTAAACTGTTAACTTTAAATATTCCATAATCCTCAGACACCGATGTTCTTATGATGTATAATTCTGATTGTTTTATTATAATGTTATCTATTTTCTAGATACGAATAACGCGAAACACGCTGCCTAAACATCCAACTCAGAAGAAAGACTTTTCTTGGGAAGCGGTATTAGCATTGCACCCGGATAAATTCGCGAAAATTAGTACCCAATCACCACCTTCGCCTCTCACGCCGCCCCCGTCACCGCGACCACCCTCTTTACCAACGTATGCGATGTTGGATGTACTTCGTAGAATGAAAGAAAAACAATCTGGTACATTTAGGCACACCAAATCACCGTTAAAGTCATCAGAGTTAGTATTCAAGTTTGTCGATCGCTCATTCGAGCATGCTAAACAGATATAAATATATACTAAGTGTAACACATATTATTTTCATATTTTCTAATACTTCATTATTTTCTTGAATCTCAGTAACGACCTCAAGGCAAAATGGATGACCCCAGCGATGGAGGAAATTGCACGACTAAGGAAAAAGAACACCGATTCGCTCGTTTCTGAGTCTGATCCGGAAAGCAGTACATTACGCATAACACGTTCTCGTGTGGCAAAATTAAAACGTAAGATAATGCTATATATGAAAAAACGCGATAAGTCGATCACTATTACATTGAATTTTTAGTCTATGTGTGTTATAGTTTTTAAATTTTTGAGAATTCTCCATTTCCGCTCGAGAAATTGAAATGTCTTGTAAAAAGTATTCTATGTCTTGAATTTACGTCGTTGTTGTATGTCTAATTTCATTTTTTGGTTGTGTCATTTTTCAATGTATATTTATATATATTTTTTTTTATATTAGGACTCGGAGCTCAAAAGCAACGTAAACGGACGCAAGAAAATCCTATTGACAGCACAGTAAGGCATAAAAGAAGGAAAGGGCCGTCCTCCTAAATGGGCTCGAGTATTACGGAGAGATTGCTTCTCTGACAATGATACCATCGGCATTCTCTTCCTCTCCCCCTCTATGTCTCTCTCTCTCTCTCTCTCTCTCTCTCTCTCTCTCTCTCTCTCTCTCTCTCTCTCTCTCTCCCTCCCTCTCTCCCTCCCTCCCTCCCTCCCTCCCTCTCTCTCTCTCTCTCCCTCTCTCTCTCTCTCTCTCTCTCTCCTCTCTCTCTCTCTCTCTCTCTCTCTCTCTCTCTCTCTCTCTCTCTCTCTCTCTCTCTCTCTCTCTCTCTGTTTCTCTCTCTCTCTCTCATTCTCATATACTTCGATTAGGAAATATATAATAAAGTATTACTTGTGGACAAAATTTCACATCCATCGACGATCGCGCCAATTTGTTTAAGACTGCTTCATCAATATGATTTGTTCTTCGATAACTTTGTGCGTTAGGCATAAGATTTTTAAATAGTTGTATAGCGAACAAAATAATGGTAATACTAGCGAATAATATGCTAAGTGACTTCCTCCTACAAATTCGCAGAGATCCAGTAGAATTAATGATGTTCGTATAGAAAAACGTGGACTGTGGATATCGTAATATTCCTGCAGGACTCAAATTGATAGCTACCGAACCAAGGTCGCGAACTTTGCAGTTTCATTATTAGTTTTAATTTATATAATATTAACACACAATGTGTGATCAAGTATAACTTTAATAAACCGGATAATATAATAAATATTTAATGCGTTAGAGCAATTCTTATATCAACTTCACGTTTAACGTGCTTTGTTACGCATATACAGAGTGTCCAATAAGTCTATCGGCGATAACGATTGTATCACGTTTACTGGACATTTTGTATATATATGTTCACATCATAAATCCGAAATTAAGAATCGTACATCTAATATATACCATCATCAACTCAGCTCGTTAAATTCGACATTATAACTGTTGTACTTTGCAATCACTAGAGATTTGATCGTATTCCAAAAGAATAATGTAGAGTATTCACGTAACAAGAATTAATTTACAATTTATTTACATAAATAACAAAGATAACTGTGCAAAATTGACACAGATAGAGCTATATGTCCTCTGTAGCGCGATTTTAATTTAGAAATATTGTGCAATATCGTAAAGAAATGTTAAACGAAAGACACATGACTTGGAGCTTGAATATGTCATGCTTCTGATGAAATATTGTTTTCCATAATGACTATGTCTTTCCCTCTATCTGCTCAAGATTTATAAAATACTGAGAAGGAATTGCCTGTGTGCAAATGTCTAATTCGATTAACATTTCATACGAAATTGGTAAGAAGAAGAAAAGAAATAGCACAGATATACTTCATGTTATAATGTATACTTTTGATTCGTATTAAGGTTGATTTGTAAATATTATATTTCGTCATTTTCGTGCCGCTGATTTATACATTTCTCTGAGGATAAGAGGATCTATGAGCATACGTTATACTTTTATATAGTAGTTTATAATACTTTGCCGTATATATAATTGTGAGCAGAACATAGATGTGAATATGTATTTAGTTTACTTCGACGTTTAGTTTACTCTTATCATGACACTTAAAATCGGTGCTTATTATTTGCAGAAGGATAAGATTCGTCTTCATCTAATGGAACATTTACAATTACATAATTAGATCGTGATGTTTTGTACACATTACATAAATAACTCGATAACGTAATTCCCGAGCTTACTGTGTATATTGAAGATATATCATTACGGTTTTACCATACATCATTACAGTATCATTATGTGCTTTTATTTATGACGATTTTAGATGGAAGACTATTATAGTTAACGTTCAATTATTGTTAGTACGTTCGTGATCGTGATCATAGATTTACATGTTCTGCGTTAGAATTTTTTTTTAACGAAAAATGCTATTGTGTAATTTATTTATATTTTGAGTTGTATAGTACCTATGCCACGAAAACTCGAAACGAAGCATCACACTCTTCGAATCATTATCTATATTTATATTGTATTTCTACGCAAAACTTCTTACATTTATACTTAAACGCGGAAGTGATAGGTATTGCGGCGATTATACCGCAATACCCGAGGAAACTGTTTTATTTCATTTAATTTCGTGCAAAAAAGACTTTTAATGGAATAACTGAATTCTTCGGAAATAAGAAGAAAAAGAGATCTATTCTCCCGTGAGCAAGTACGGCCAAATTTATCGTTAGATTATTTTGTACAAATCGATATCTCGCTGGCAATAAGACAGATTTCGTAATTGTAATGATTAACGGTACGGCGCGAGGAAAGATCGCGCTTTCCTAAGTATTGCTAGAGATTGCAGCGTGTTCGTAAGTTATATTATTTCATAAGACGCGACGACATAAATTTAGCCGGTACGTTCAAGTAGCTATAGATGATGCAAGAAGAATGTATGTAAACAAACTGTGGTAGGCTGTATTCGCGTCTGCATTTCCTTAGAACGATATTTACTGTTCAGTATATTGTTTATGGGTATATTACGATGCGAAATAAAAGGCAAGTGTACATCACACTAACATACCGAACGTTTCCCTTGATTTTTCGTCGTGCCGCGCGATATGTAGCACCGAGGACACACGAGAAAGATGAATTTTCCGAAATTTATCGGCGACATGCGATCGCGGCCGATTTTCAAAGAAGGGAAAAAATGGACGAGAACGAGTGACCGGATCTCGTCGCGAACTCGTATTTTCCAACGAGTGAAAGTTCATTTCGTTCGAGAAGACTCGATGAACGGCATCCTAATATTCAGAGGGTACATTCTCCATTCATTCCACCGTCGGATGCAACGACGCGCCGGCGGTCTAATAATAGAACGGCGATTCCGACGTATATCGTGCGTGCGTGCATGCGTGCGTGTGTAGTGGCTCCTAATGTATACATACACGCACGCGTGTATAGCTGTACGTGTATATTCCATGCTCCTCCGAAAAATAAACGCGAGCGTGTGTGGGGGGTTTCGAAAGAATGTACAGCGACTTTCACACGGCGCCGGTTGGGCAATATTCGGGAGAGGGTCTCTTACTTCGTGTTTTACCCTAACTCGTAAATATTCTACGCAATGCGTTTCGAATTTCCACTTTCACGAAACGAGCCAGACGTTACTTACTCCGTACGATTTGACAACTTATCGCGGCGACCCCGATGGGAATTTCGATGTTTTTAAAATGCGACATGCAGCCCAGCGCGAGCATCGCTCCACATCTCTTCGAAAACGAGCCGGTTACTAGACGCGTGTCTTCGATATCAGCCAAGAAGGAACCGTATCGATACATCCCGGTATCTTACGCATTCAAACAGTCTATCAATCAAGCTGTTTCGGACTATGAACCAGGCACTTGATCGGAAAACTAGGTGAATCGAATCACTCGTTCGACCAGAGCTAGTATTTCAGTTTGTCCAGTTTTACGAAAGATCTGTGTTTGTTGCTGAACTTGTGTACACTTTCGGGACTTGAAAAGAAACAGTATCATTATGAGGAACAGTGTTATTGGTGAGGAAAAAAGAACTAGAGTGCAGGTAATACACAGCCAGTTTAGGGATAGAAAACAAATGTAAATTGAACATAAACTCACCGAAAAGATGACCCCGCCTACGACGTTCCGTCTATCGACGTAACAACCCTGGCAATTCCATGTCGCTAGATCTCTCCAAACGACCCCGGCTGCTCCTTGTCGCCGAACTCGATTCATATTGCCGGTGCTCTTGAGTAGAGACCGGAGGACAGTCGGTGCATTCAGCCTGTTGTCGTCGTCGTCGTCGTCGTCGTCGTCGTCATCGTCGTCGGCTCTCCGGTGTAAAGTTCATTCGTCCATTTGTTCGTTCCATCCGTCTCGTCCCGCACCGTCCCGGGAGAAGCTGCAAAAATTGCGATTGTCCATCGATAATCGAAGGCACGTATTGACTGCACTTTCTGCACGCTTCAAGTTATTCTTCCGCCCGTCATAAGTGCGCACGCCATTATTTCGCTTTAAATGCGCGAAAATACAACTAGAACGAATGAACAGAGGTAACATGAAATGATTTATATGGTCTAAATACGCGAACTTTATTCGTTTCCCGTCGGCAGGATTGAACTTGTGTCGGTTTCACTTTCAGTTAGAATTCGCCTACAAAATGCGAACAATGTCGTGTGATCGAATAATTCGACAAAATTGTCCTGCACGATTTGCAATTCTCGAAGGCAGAGAGTTCTAACGTCGCGTCTATAATATCGCCTAACTGTACGCTTTAAAAAATTCAAACTATTCGAATACAACTTCAGACTTCACAGACTCGAGCGATTTTAAACTTCAGCCTGCAAATACGATCTGTCTGGTTTCGTTTAGTCCACCTAAAAATTCCAAGCATTATTTTAAATGCAAGATTCGATACAAATGACACAGTACAACACGAAAAATGCAGCCAAAATAAGCATACGGATCGTTTAATGTACCGGAAGCTGCGCGGTCCTTGCCAGAAGCTAGTCACGCCGGATAATCCGCGATCATCTGTCGGCGTCGGGCACGTCGATGCATCTGTGTGGTATTCTCCGCTAAAGTGAAGGAAAAATCGCCAGAATCTCGTCCAAGCGAGACCAGGACGTGTACAATCTGTCTAATGGCAAGTACAGAGGTATCGGCGCGCGCGTTTCGTGCGAACGGTTGTCATCATCTCACGATTGTTGTTCGGCCGTGGTATTGTTGATCAACAATTCGCCGCGCGGAGCTTTTCGGTGGCTCGCTCGCGCGAGCAGCCCTCGCTCCGATTCGCTCGAACGTTGGTCCTCGTTCGTTCACCCTCGGCAAGTTTCGGCGGGCGCCGCGCGCCGGCCGCGCGACGCCGTGTCAGTCGTGTCTCGTCCTGCGAACGCGCCGCTCTCGGTGGTGGGATCTCTGTCCGGTCGTCCGTCCGTCCGTCTGTCCGTCCGTCCGTCCGTCCGCCTGCCTTCCTGTTCGCGATCGTTCACCCTCGGTGAATTTCGGCGCGTCGCGCGTCGTCCGGTATCGGTTCGGTGGTGTTCCTCAGTCGCGTCTCGTCCGGCGATCGTGTCGTGTGTGCTGCGTGTGTCCGTTTCTATCTGTCTCTCTTTTTCTCGTTCGCTGAAAC